CGCTGAGCCTGCGCTCTGCAACGGGAGAGGCCACAACAGTGAGAGGCCCGCGCACAGCAAAAAAAAAAAAAAAAAAAAAAAAATTAGCAAAAAAAAACTGAAAAAAAAGACTAAGATGTCCTTCAGTGGGTGAATGGATAAATAAACTGTGGTGCATCTAGATAATGGAATATTATTCAGCACTAAAAAGAAATGAGCTGTCAACCCATGAAAAGACATGGGAGAATCTTAAATGCATATTACTAAGTGAAAGAAGCCAGTCTGAAAAGGCTACATAGTGTTTGTCTGCAACTGTATGACATTCCAGAAAAGGCAAAACTACGGAGACAGTAAAAAGACCTGTGATTGTTAGGGGTTGGTGCGGAAGGATGAATAGATGGAGCACAGAAGATTTTTTAGGGAAGTGAAAATACTCTGTATGATACTATAATGGTGGATACATGTCATTATACAATTTGTCCAAACCCATGGAATGTACAGCACCAAGAGTGAACCCTAAGGTAAACCACGGACTTTGGGTGATTATGATGTGTCAGTGTAGGCACATCAGTTGTAACAGATGTGCCACCCTGGTCGGGCTCTTATGTTGGGGGAGGCTCTACATGTGTGGGAGCCAGGGGGATCTGGGAAATCTCTATGCGGACCTTCCTCTCAACTTTGCTGTGACTTAAAACTGCTCTAAAAAAAATAAAGTCTTTAAAAAAAAATTTTTTTTTTGGCTGCACCTCGCGGCTTGCAGGATCTTAGTTCCCCTACCAGGGATTGAACCCAGGCCACCACAGTGAGAGTGCCGAGTCCTAACTACTGGACTACCAGGGAATTCCCTTAAAAAAAATTTTTTTTAATCACACTACAAAACCACACATGGTAAGGCCCTAGTTTCATAAAATATAGAGAAATATAAAGAAAGAAACACACCATAATATTAACAATATTTATCTCTGAGTGATAGGATTCCAGAGGGAACTTTTATTTCTTTATGTTTATTTCTGAATTTCTTACTTATACTTATTTCTATATTTTCCAAGAAAGTTTAGCAAAGAATACACATTACTTTTATTACCAGGGAAAAACTCTGAATAAGAATTATAAATTTAAAAGTACTGGGAAGAAAGTAATGAGAGGTGATTAAGCCCAGCTTTCTCTAACTCCTTTTTTACATCTGTAGCCGATTAGCAGAGAGGTTTTCTGTCTGTCTGGCTGACCAGTTTTCCTTCTCCCATGGGGAAGGCCCTCGCAGAGAAGGCAGGGTGTGTCCAAGGTCACGGAGTCGTGTTGCCTCTGCATGTCAACCAGTGAGGCTGCCCTGGGCTGTCACCTGAATTCAGGGTCTGGCCTCCAAGGTTCATGGGACAAATGCAATCCTCTTGATTTTCCCATCATTTGGACGGTGATGCTCAATAACTGCCCGAGACCCTGGTTACTAACTAGAGGCAGAGTGGCATCAAACACTGGAAGTGCCCACTTTGGACCAAGCTGGCCTGAGCTGGAATCCCTGCTCATCACCTACAGACTGTGTTCCCTTAAGCATATTGCTTTACCTCTTTCAACCACAATGTCCTCATCTCTACCACAGGGATTAAATTAAATAACAGTTCTAGCACATACCCTGGCACAAAGTCAATTCATATCCATTTTCTCTCCTGCTTCCTTTTGCTTTTACTACAAGAGAACTGAGTTCTCTATCTCCGTCCCCCTGCCTCAAAGAGCTCAAAGAGCAGAGTCTGGGGGCTCCTAAATCTCTCCTCCCCACCCATCAGGGCCTCTGTTCCTCCTCATCAAACAGTCCCTCTGCTGACTGCCAAGCCACAGAGAGGACGGCTGAGCAGTCCAGAGTCCACCTGTCTCACCAGCACGTCACTGCCCCCTGGTGGGGATAACAGAACCCTTGGCAGGTCTGGCTTCCTAGTGCTCCCAGCCTAACAGCCCTGGGAAGCTGCTTCCTCTTTCCTGTAGGAGACCCATGGGCTGCTTTACTTCCCCCGAGACCCTCAAAGAACAGTCTGAAGAGTGAGTGTTAAAAAAGCAGCAGCTGCCAAGCTCTGGGAGGTGGGAGCGCCAGCCAGGGGTCCCAGATCCTGCACTGTATTTACTCAATCTGCAGAGCATCTCCAGGCTTTTAGAGCCGTTTACTGGGCAGGAGGGAGCAGACAACTGGGTCCCTCTCTGGCCTCTGGCTTCCACCGGCCTTTCCTTTGGAGAAGGGCAGCCCGAGTGCCGCTCACTCTAGGAATAGCTCTGACTCCGAGCTCCTGGAGGTGTGCAGGCTAGGGGCACAGGCAAGGCACAGGCAACCCCTTGAGGGTGCAGGGAAGGAGCACGGGGGCAAAGCTGGAGACAGGAGAGATGGGGACAGGGACAAAAAACAGGGGCTGTGACCAGAACACAGGATGGGAAGTGCAGGGACAGAAGCAGGGGCAGGTCAGCGGGGGCGACAGGGCTGGGCCAGCACAAGGTCCGTGGTGGACAGGGGGCGGGTGGCACAGGGTGGGAGTGGGGGGCAGAGAGAGGCATAAGTAAGCACAGAGCAGGGCTGGGGAAGGGGTAGCAGGCAGTGTGGGGAAAGCCCTGACCAGCTGGCTTATGTAATCTGGGGACCCTCTATTGCTCCACAGGGGCCCATAGGAAATCTGGGGTTGCGGATGCCCAGCCAGAACCCACATTTTCACCCTAACCTGTGCGTGCTTTCCAACAGCAAGCAAAAGGAGCACAATTTAGTTAAGTTAGGACGGGCAAGATTCACTTCTTATTTGAAAATTATGACAGCAACAATAAAAATACTCGGCTGAAATGCCGTCCAACCAAGCCAACTCCCCTGGGAAGTTAAAGTCAGGCGCCCCCATCCCAGCACCCTGTACCTTTAAGGAGGAGAAGTGTTCCCTTGCTCCCAGCTGAAGAGGCAGGTTATTCCTGGAGATAGCAACGACTTACCTAAAACGGAGTCATTCCCCTTTCCTCCTCCGGCCAGCCTCTCTTCACTCTGGGGAGCTTTTACCATTTAAGGTCAATGTTACATCTGGCTCCAGAGCTCAGAGCTGAGAAGCCTCTGGCTGCCGAGCCCCGCTGCCCGCCTCCTCAGAGAGGGGCTGGGACTTAGAGCCCAGAGCTCCTCAGGGACCCCTCTGGCCTGGCTCAGGGGGCTGACGGCAGGGAAGCTGGCCAGGCCACCCCCGGAGCTCAGTGCAGGCTGGGCCTGAGAGGCAGCAGCTGGCCTTGGACCCCTCCCACGGGCACCGGCACAGCGGAGGGCAGTGCCCACGGGCAGCTCATGCCGCTGGGCATGTCCCGGCCAGACGGGGACCAGGGGAACTCGGCAGATCTGTCTCCCAGCCTGGAGTCTCCAGCAAGCATGTGAGCCGGGACAAGACCCTGGCCCAGTGCCAGGGAAACTGGGAACATTTCCTGTCCCAGGGATTCGGAGGTGGAGGCTGCTCCCCACCTTAAGCCCTTGGGATTAACAGAGAGAAGGGCCTGGAAGATGAGCTAATCCCAGACCTGGCACCAACCCCGGGGCTTCAATTCCTTCTCTTCCACTTGACAGTCCTGTGCTCTTAACCTCATGGAGACTCAGCAGTTTCCTCATCTCTAGAGTGGGAATCATAGTGATCACACGTGCCTAACTCCTAGGGTTGCAGGAGGATTCAATGAGATAATATTGAAGGGCTTAGCAGAGTGCCAGCACCTCGAACATGCTGATCAACAGAAATTAGTTTCCTGCCTGGACACAGGTGAGGAAGGGCTGCCTGTCTCCTGGAAGTTCCACACCCTGCCCTGACTCACTCCTCACCACCTTGGGTGCAGCACACCCTCGAGAAAGATCATGGCGCTGCGGGCCCTGAACCAGTCACACGTGGGCTCCAGCCCTCTTCCGCAGTTAGAGGCAGCTCAGAGAAGCCCTGAGTAGGGTTGTCAGATAAAATACAGGACACTCACTTCAATCTGAATTTCAGATAAACAATACTTATCTTTTAGTATAAGTATGTCCCAAATATTGCACAAGACATACTTATTTTTATTTATTTATTTATTTTTGGCTGCATTGGGTCTTCATTGCTGCGCATGGGCTTTCCCTAGTCGTGGCAAGCAGGGGCTACTCTTCACTGCAGGGCGTGGGCTTCTCATTCCGGTGGCTTCTCTTGTTGCGGAGCACGGGCTCTAGGTGTGCGGGCTTCAGTAGTTGTGGCTCGCGGGCTCTAGAACACAGGCTCAGTAGTTGTGGCACACGGGCTCAATTGCTCTGTGGCATGTGGGATCTTCCCGGACCAGGGCTTGAACCCATGTCCCCTGCATTGGCAGGTGGATTCCCAACCACTGCACCACCAGGGAAGCCCACGAGACATACTTATATTAAAAACTATGTTTTATATTTTTATTATTTTTTAACACCTTTATTGGAGTATAATCGCTTTACAATGGTGTGTTAGTTTCTGCTTTATAACAAAGTGAATCAGCTATACATACACATATATCCCCATATCTCCTCCCTCTTGCGTCTCCCTCCCACCCTCCCTATCCCACCCCTCTAGGTGGTCACAAAGCACAGAACTGATCTCCCTGTACTGTGCGGCTGCTTCCCACTAGCTAGCTATTTTACATTTGGTAGTGTATATATGTCCATGTCACTCTCTAATTTTGTCCCAGCTTACCCTTCCCTCTCCCCGTGTCCTCAAGTCCATTCTCTACGTCTGCGTCTTTATTCCTGTCCTGACCTAGTTTCTTCAGAACTTTTTTTTTTAGATTCCATATATATGTTTTAGCCTACGGTATTTGTTTTTCTCTTTCTGACTTACTTCACTCTGTATGATAGTCTCTAGGTCCATCCACCTCACTACAAATAACTCAATTTCATTTCTTTTTATGGCTGAGTAATATGCCATTGTATATATGTGCCACATCTTCTTTATCCATTCATCTGTCGTTGGACACTTAGGTTGCTTCCACGTCCTGGCTATTGTAAATAGAGCTGCAATGAACACTGTGGTACATGACTCTTTTTGAATTACAGTTTTCTCAGGGTATATGCCCAGTAGTGGGATTGCTGGGTCATAGGGTAGCTCTATTTGTAGTTTTTTAAGGAACCTCCATACTGTTCTCCACAGTGGCTGTACCAACTTACATTCCCACCAACAGTGCAAGGGGGTTCCCTTTTCTCCACACCCTCTCCAGCATTTATTGTTTGTAGATTGTTTGATGATGGCCATTCTGACCAGTGTGAGGTGATACCTCATTGCAGTTTTGATTTGCATTTCTCTAAGATCAGTGATGTGGAACATCCTTTCATGTGTTTGTTGGCAATCTGTATATCTAAAAGAAAATATATTTTTTAATCTGAAATTCTAATTTAACTGCTCATCCTGTATTTTTATTTGCTAAATCTGGCAATTCTAGCCGTGGGCCATCACTTGCCACTTCAGAAAGCATTCATCTGTCATGCTGAGAGCTCTAGGGGTTGGTGCTTCAAGGCTTGTAGCCTCAAGGCCTCCTGGTGACAGCTGCCTGGCTGTACACAGTCCTTATACCCAGCTCCTGGCCATGGGTCAGTCACCCCAGCCATGGCAGGCTTTCTCCGCCAAACCTGGCCCACTGGGCTTCCATCCCAGCCCCTTCCATGGGCATCCAGTTCTGGACTGTCTCTCCTCCCTGCTTGTTATGAAAGAGATTCTTGATGAGACTGCAGTGCATGCCATCTGTCACACCCATAAATAACTGTATTTTTGCAGATGGAACCAGAGGCGACTCTCCTGGTTACTAGTCACGCTTTCTCTCAGGCGTCCACCCCTATACATCTGCTGGGAACAGGCCCTCCCGGTAAAGCCACATGGTGGTAACTACTAGAATTGCAGGTATAGGGAATAGAAGGAATTTACCAAACTCTTTAGTGCTGTGTCTCCATCTTCATTGTGCAATAGAACCCCCAAGTGTGAAGTTCTCTGGACCCCTCTTCCAGAAATTCTGATCCTGTGAATCTAAAGTGGGACCCAGGAATCTATATTTTAATTAAGGCCCTCAGGTGATTCTTAGGTAGCTAGTCCAAAGACCTCACTTTAGGGAATGATGCTCCAAAAGTTGATTTTGTGAATCTAGCAGCAAATACTACAAAGACAACTAGAAACAGGTTGGAATGGAACTGAAGGGACTTTGCTGGTGGTGCAGTGGTTAAGAATCTGCCTGGCAATGCAGGGGACACAGGTTTGATCCCTGGCCTGGGAAGATCCCACATGCCATGGAGCAACTAAGCCCGTGCACCACAACTACTGAAGCCCGCGTGCCTAGACCCCGTGCTCCACAACAAGAGAAGCCACTGCAATGAGAAGCCCGCACACCGCAAGGAAGAGTAGCCCCTGCTCGCCGCAACTGGAGAAAGCCCGTGCGCAGCAACGAAGACCCAACACAGCCAAAAAAAACCCCAAAACACAAAGAAATGGAACTGAAGGCTTCGTGTGCATGTGAGGGAGGGTGTGTGTGTGTGTCTCTGTCTGTGTGTGTGTTTCTATGTGTCTGTATGTGTGTATACAGACTGTATGTTGAGCACCTACTATATTCCAACCACTATATTAGATGCTCTACATAAAGGCATGTACCCTCATAAATGCTCTATGAAATAGAATTATTATACCATTCTTTTGGAAAGGAAACTGAGACTTGAAGAGGCGAAAAGACTTCTCTGTTGTTCCACAGCCAGTAAGTGGTAGAGCTAAGAGGTGAACTTACGTGGTTTGGCCCTAAAGCTCTCCCCTCTGTACCATACTTCCTCCTCTTCAGCCAGGGCTTCTTAAATTGGGGTTTATGGATGGCCTTCAGGGGTTTCTGAGCCAACTGAAATTGTATGCAAAACACTGTGTGGGGACTTCCCTGGTGGCACAGTGGTTAAGAATCCGCCTGCCAATGCAGGGAACACGAGTTCGATCCCTGGTCCAGGAAGATCCCACATGCCGCGGAGCAACTAAGTTCGTGTGCCACAACTACTGAGCCTGCGCTCTAGAGCCCACGAGCCACAACTACAGGAGCCCGTGTGCCTAGAGCCCGTGCTCCACAGCAAGAAAAGCCGCCACAATGAGAAGCCCGTGCACCGCAATGAAGAGTAGCCCCTGCTCACCTCAACCAGAGAAAGCCTGCGCACAGCAACGAAGATCCAACGCAGCCAAAAAAATTAAGAAAAAAAAAAAAAAAGCCACACTGTGTGATTTCTGTTTTTCTTGGGTACAGTTCCATAGTTTTCACAAAGGGGTCACCAAATAACTTTTAAAATCATTGCATTAACACAAGCATTTCATAAAACACATTACTGATGGGCATGTGAAATGGAGCATGCTCTATAGAAGACAATTTAGCATGATCAAAATTATAAGGCTCGTATCCTGTGACCCAATTCCACATCTAGGAATTTATTGTACAAACACACTCCCACACTTGGGAAATGACAAATGAACATGATTATTCATTGCAGCTTTGTCTATAAAAGCAAAAGGATTGGAAACAACATAAATTGGGGGCCATAAAAGGTGATGGGTATAGCCACAACAAAGGATGAGAAAGCTCTTTGTGTAGTGACATGAAAAGCTCCCAAGATCACACGGTTAAGTGGAAAAAGTAAGATAATGGGACAGTATAGATATATATACATGCACACAAATATGCTCATATTCACACATACTCACAAGTACATATGTGTGTGTGTGCGCACAGTCTTGCTAAAATTAGCACAAGAAACAAATAACATTAACATTAGTTGCCTATGGGAAGGGAATCTAAGTGGCTGGGGCAAAGAGTATCCACTGTATATCTTCTTTATACATTTAAAGTTTTGAATCATATGAATAAGTCGTGTGTTTGCATTCAAAAATAGTAATGAAAAACAAGCATTGCTGGAAACAGGGATTTAATCAATTCATCTTCCAGCACTGCTTCCCCCAAATGTCAGAGTATTGGCATGAGCCTGATTAAAGGTTATTTTTGTTTTTTTTTTACTTTTTATTTTGGAATACTTACAGACACACAGGAAGTTGCAAGAATAGTACAAAGTGTCTCACGCACCTTCACCCAGCTTCCCCCAGTGGTGAGATTGTATATGGCTGTTGTTTGATACGAAAACCAGGAAGTGGGCATTGGTACGTTATTGTTAACTGGACTACAGATCTT